AGCTGCAAAGATTGGCTGTGACCCACCAACCTCTGTCCTCCATGGAGGATCATCTGTGCAGAGGCAGGGGAGTGGTGCTCCAACATGGTCTGTAGCTGTCCACTGGGTGCACTAGCCCTGGGGTTTCCTGAGTGGTTCAGGCCAAGGTCCGTCCCCACCTGTGTTTTGCCCAGGGACACTGTGTCTGAGGTATACAGCAATCTGAGATGGCTGCTACTTGTGCTGGGCTTGGAGAGTCCTAGGCAAAGCCAAGCTGTGAAATTAAGCTGGCTGCTGCTAGTGCCAGGCCTGGGGCTCACTGAGGCCAGCTGTTGCTTTTTTGAAAGCATTTAGGAAGTTGTGAAGCATTAGCCAAGACCAGCCATACGGAAAAGCCACTGCTAACAGCTGTAAATTAGGTGGGATGGAGCCTCAGGAGATTTCCAGGGTGGACCAAACCGTGTTAGTCAGATTGATGTAGCCTCAGATATGGCACCCACCTGCGGGTTCTGTGGCTCTCTGGGGAGAGGGTTCAGAAAAGGCACAATAGCCTCTATCTGCCTTTCTGCCTGGGAGAAAGCTGTCCCCTAGCTCTCACCTTGATGTCAGACACTTCGCTTCCTCCTTTTATGTCTCTGCTGACTTCCGAGCAGCTACCCTGATACTAGAGCTCAGAGGGAGTGTGTCTAGGTAAGTCCATGTTGGGTTCTTTAAAAGGAACTGCTTGGGACTCCAGAAGTTTCTTCCACTGACTCAATCCCCACTTACTTTTGTAGCCAGTTCAGGGACTTATCTTCCTGAACTCCTCGCTCTTAAGATATCTCTCCTGAATTTTTATCCACCACACATGGTTATGGGACCAGCCCATTCTGCACCTCCACCCCTCCTAAGAGTGTGGATGGATGTGGTTTCTTTAATTCCATAGTTGTCAGACTTCCATTCAACTTGATTTCTGATGGTTCTGAGTGATGGTTGTTCTATAATTTAGTTGTAATTTTGATGTGGTTGTGCAAGGAGGTGAGCTGTGTTTACCTATGCCGCCATCTTGATCAAAAGTCTCTGGCTCCTTCCTTCCTTCCTTCTTTCCTCCCTCCTTCCTTTGGCTCGGGTCTCTTTGCTTGGCTGCAAGCGCAAACTAAGATGAAGCTCAAGATTTGTTTCAAGCGCCCAAATGCCAATCTGACAGTGTCTCATTATTCCCAGAAGCCAACAGGACTGTCACTTAAGAAATAAAGGGCATCATGCTTTCGCAGCACTATAACTGTACGCACAGACACATGCTAAAATGGAATTTGGCAGCTGGGAGAAAATAGGGTAAAATTATCTATGACCCTTCTTCCTTCTCTCACCATTACTAAACCAAGGCAGTTATGTATGTAGATACTGCCATTCCCGTACTCTAATACCACACTACTGTGCATAAAAACCACCAAACCATAACTGGAGAAAGAAGAGAGATGAGCTGAGATAAGCAAAATGGGTGTTTTGAAGTGTTGTATTGTGTTTTAGTAAGCATAAGAACATATAAGTGACGAGGCAGGCCAAGTGAAAGGGAAAACATGGTTGGGTGATGAGAAATAGAGGGAAGTAATAAATGTTGATGGCGCAACATTTAAAAGCTTATAAGAAATTCTGTAACCTGTCCTTGTTTACTGTCTGGGGTTCTGCCTTAAAATAACTCACACATGCAAGCAAGGGCCAGTATTCTGAAGCATGTAAATATATTAGAGAGTTTTGTTAAGTCCTGTTTACTGATTTTTTTACAGCTTTGCAAGGTTCTTCTGCACATGTAGCTCTAAAACTTCTGAAATTGACTTTGAGTGTCTGAACGTACACAAAAGCCAAAACACCATCCTTGGGTGGCCTGTGCCCAACTAACTTCGTAAGGAGATTGTACATTCGTTTCTTAAAGAGAACTCCCCAAATTACGTAAGGTCCAGGGCTCATGCAACCTGGGCCTGCCTCTATCTCACAGGAGTCTTGTAGTAGGGCCCTGAAATCTACTCACAGCTACTGGTAACATTTCCAGTGTGCCAAATGCCTCTACCTTTCTTCTCTCTGTTCAGTCTCTGGTTCAGTTATGCACTGGAAATTCTTGATACTCTTAGGCCCCAACTGAATACCTAACTGCCTACTTGTCTCAACTGCCTACTTGTCACAGCTACCCAAGCCTCAAACTCTGTATGTGCAAACTGAGCTTAATGCCCCCTTCTCTTATATCCCATGCTTTGACCAAGAGGCCTGGCACCCTTCTAGAGCCGCCTTCTGCTCCGACTGCCATCCCCTCGGACCACACAATCGGTCAATCACATCTACTTCCTACACATCTCGCTTCCATTTCCCCGTGTCCATCCCTATTACGGAGAGCCCACCCCAGTCCCCCACCTACAGCACTGTAATATGGTCCTCGTTTGTAAGTGTTATCCTGCATGCATTCCTTAGACCCACCTGCACACAGCTGCTTCTGTGACAAGGAAAATCTGATACGGCCTGCTTCAAATGCTTGAGGGCTCCCACTGCCTGGAAGATGAGAACCTCTTGGCAAAGCCTTTAGGGCTCTGGCCACAGGGCCCCCTCAGCCTTCTCTCCAGCTGCCCTCCTCTCTCCCCAGGTGCCAGCCCCCGTGGTGCCACACCCCTCCCCACCAGGCCAGGTGGCTCCTTCACACGCTTTCACAAGCACGGGCATCTCAGCCTACACATCTCCCCATTCCATCTGTCCATCTGCAAACCTTCTGTCCACCCTTCAGGACCCAGCCTCATGTTGCTGCCTGTGAAGTCTCATCTATCCTCCTTAAGCTTAGCTGAGGACTCTGACCTCTAATCCACCGCTGGCCCTCACACAGACCGCTGGTATTAGCACTGAGGACCACCGATGCAATGACCACACACCTCTCTCCCTGATAGCCCAGGCCAGCCTGAGGATATGTCTCTTATTTAGCTCAGCACCCTGCAGTCTGCTTGGCACATAACCGGAACACAATAAACATTTCTTTAAATGAATGAATGAATCGACACTGACTCATGGCTTGGTTGTTCCTCACTGGCACAACTACTTCCTCAGAGGCCACAGACGCATAAGTTATTTTAAGTAATAACTCAGTTTGAGTAGAGCCAATAACCTAAATAAATATATTTGTCTTTTAACATTTTTAAATGTTAAGTGACCTGGGTAAGTTCCACCCATGAGAGACAATTCTCTTATTCAATGGCTGATTATTCACACCTCTGGCTTCCTAGTTCTTATCTTGAAGACTGTTTTAGAGTCTTAAGAGACTCTAAATTTATGGAGTTACAATTTATTTACAATTTATCAAGCCGTTGGAATGTATCACACCCCGCTTTTTATATACGTCAAGTGTTATCTTGTTACCTCTTCAATCTTCATTAGTACCTCAATTAGAGAAATAAAGCAAGTTTAAACATATTAATGAATTAAAGTGAACACGTATGAGTACTTGTTAACATGTCTTTCAAAACACTCTGAGAGAGCAGAGAATTCAACTGCTGGATTTTAATGAACTCGGCTGTGCATCTCAAGTATCCACATTGGCCTTGGCCTCCCACCAAAGTGGGTGATGAAGAGCTGGATATGGTACAATCAGGATTTCGTTAAAAGATCTGGGAGTATTTATTCTTGGTTCTAGCAAGCATAAAAAAACTTTCAGGCAGGTTGAAAAGAAAAGATGGTCAAATGAAAAGGAGAGGGAGTGAAGACAAAGCATGAGAAGAAAAAGCACAGGAACTTAAAAAGCCATGTAAGAAAGAGGTAGAGGGGAAGAGGAAGAGACAGCGTGACCAAGGAAAAGAGAGGGAAAAAAATAAGAACACAGGGTCCAAGTCCCGTCTTACCGGATATAAATGCAAACTGGAGAGTGTTTGGAGACAGCCACGAAATAATATGCTCTAAACAGACAGGTTCCTACTGGATTGTTCTGACAGAAGAGTTTCTGCACATCATTTGCTCAAGATCTTTTCTTAGAACTTAGCTGACTTTCTAATGAATTGAGTGAAAATCCTTCTCAACACTGGGCCATTTTCGCCCTATCAATTTAATGAAAAGCTGGCTAAGGGTAGATGCGAACCAGAGAGACAGCAATAAACTCAGCTACGTAGTATGGACTTCCACCCTGTTCTGTGGATAAAGAAGCTTGGAGAGCGGTCCAGATGACAGAATGGGTCGGTACTGCTTTCTCTCTCCCAAAGCAAGTGTGGTTTCGATAGGCTTTTACTCTGTATTTCAGGGTTGAAACTGCATACCATCTTCTCTGCATGATCTTCTGCCAGAGAATCTGAATGACAACTCTCGTCTTAGAGGTATTTTTCCATTATAATTTTTCAATTTGTTCTGGTCTGAAAAATGTGTGTCAAAGAAAACAGAAAACTCAAGCCCCGCGTCCCCTTCAGACATTCTGTTCTGTGTTTACAATGACTTTGCAGATGACTCTCTGCTTCCCTTTCTTTTTGGCAAATGACCTTATTGTTTCCAGATTTCTGATCACTTCTAATACGCTATAAAATATTTACCGGATTTGCAGGAATACCTCTCATGCCTCTTTATTTTTCACCTCTTTTTGACCTATAATCTTTTCTTTTAGCTCTCTTACACATACACCCCCGCCCTCCCCTCAACCCCACATATACACACAAACAAACTCTGGGAAAACTCAGAGTAGCCTCAGGATTCACGAGCGATGGTCCTCTCCTTTCCCAAGGGCACAGCTCTCCAGGAAATTAAGGAACAGAGCAATCCCTCAAAGTCCTTTCACCCACTTCCTGTGGGAAAGCTGAGCCAGCCTCCTTACCTTAAATGATTATAACTGCTCAGGTTTCCTTAGTGACCGGGGGAAAAAAAAACACACACATTCACCCAGGGAGCTCAGACTGGATTTCAGCACAGTGATTTGTATACACTCAAAGCAGCAAGGGCTTGGTGAGCCCAGAGGCCCTCGGGCTGCTCAGCACTAGGTTTTCACTCCTCTGCCTGCTCCTCTCTCGTCTCACGAAGGAGAGCACACTTACCTTCCTCGGTTTCACTTTATCGTGGTAGTCATACTGGAAGATTCCTTTGTAGCTCAGGCCCAGCCACCATGGTATCCCCTGCTTGTCCTAGGACATCAAAAGGAGCATGGGTCAATACGGGGCCCAAGGAGATGAAACACTAACCAAGATCTCCTGGTTCATCTCAACAGAAGGGAAAAGGCAAATTCCTTGCAGTGAATGGAGCCCATCTCTCTCCACTTTTTACCTTAACAGATAGGCCCAGTCATCAAATGATGCTCAGTTATAAGAACAGGTAACCTGGCAGGTGCCCGGGGCTGCGCAGCCCACACTGCCCCGCACCAGCAGCACAGCCGCGGTCCTTTCCCCCTTCGTGAGTAAGTAGCAGATGCCTTGTTCTCTGTCCTCCTTCTAAGATGTTAGGTGTTCAGTGCTGGGTCCCTCACTCACCACGAGTGAAAATCTGAGAGGTGTTAAACATTTTAACAGAACGACCTTCTGGGCAGAGAAACTATCAACTCTCAGAGCTAGAAAGGACCATGGAGGTTATGGAAGGCCACGCCTTGGAAAAATAATTTCTTTAAAAGACTTTATTTTTTTTAGAGCCGTTTTAGGTTCATAGTAAAATTGAAAGGGACAGATTTGCAATACACCCTCCCCCACATATGCACAGCCTCCCCGTTATCATCACCCCTCACCAGAGCGGTGCGTTGGCTACAGGGACACATCCATGTCACCGGAAGACCAAGGGACATTAGGGTCACTCTCGCCACGGTACATTCCATGGGTTTGGGCAAATGTATACCGACATGTATGCATCACTGTAGTGTCATGCAGAGTAGTGTCACTGCCAGAAAACCCTTTGTGCCCCACTAGTCATAGCTTCCCCAGCCCCTCCCAGCTCCTGGCAGCCAGCTCTGCCTTTTCCAGAATGTCAGACAGTTGGAATCCTACGGTAGCTTTTTAGAGTAGCTTCTCTCACATAACAACTCATATTTAAGACTCCTCTAATTTTACAGACAAATAAATCAAAGCAAAGGGTTGGCCCTGCTCTGCTAAGGACCCTCCTGCCCCCGGCAGGACAAGGGCAGTGCAGGGTGGCTATGCTCCCCACGCAGTCCTGCTGTCCGTGCGAGGACAGTAGGGCGCCACGCAGCATTGAGTGACTCGTGCTGTTGGTCAAAGTAGCAAAATGGAAGCCTAGACATTCTGGTGACTGAATTAGAAACAGCAGTTCCCTCTGTTTATTCCTTTAACTGACACCTCTTGGCACCAGATTGTAAGTTGTAATTCTGCATTCAAGTAGGATGACTGAGCTGTTAATTCAAGCTCCCAAATGCTAGGAGCCGACAGTGGGCATAATCAAGCAACCGTTCCCAAGCTTTGTCCTAACTGCCACATCTACGAATCACCTAATACCCTCCATCGCTGATGTCTTGAAAACTCAAAGTTGGCTTATGGTTTTCAAATACTTGTAAACATGAGTTATTTCAAGGTAAGCACAAAGATAAGGGGGAAAAGAAATACATTTTGAATTTTTAGAAAAGTTTCAAGGTATACGATTTCTTAGAAAGTTTTTTAAAGCTATAAAACCTTTGTCTCTGGAAAATGCCTCTGTGTGCTGCCATGGTTTCAGAAAACAGAACAAAGGGACACCCAACGCTGCTGCAACTTTAGATTGGCCAGGCGAGAGTTGTCATCACACCATAAAATATCACATCCATGAAATCACAAGGCCACCAAACAGGGAGGGTCTGCCTACAATTGGTGTAGGCTTATTGGATTTGCATGTTTTTTCCCAGCACGCAGGAAAGCACTTGTTTACGCCTGGAGATTCTAAAAGCCAAACACATACAGAGTGCATTTGGCACTCTGAAAGTCACATGGTCTGCTTCTGGTCTCTAACACACTGCAAGGGAGTAAGCATATTTCTAAAGTTTTATTGGAAGGCAGAAGGCATATATTTCAGAGATCAACTGTTTGTCAAGCTCTAGGGCTGACAAAGCAATGGAACACAGGGGTAAACAAGTAAAAGACTAACTGAAGCCTTACCTCAAGGACTTCCAACCTATCCATCTCAATCTTAAATGTCTATCAATGCATCTCTCTCTCAATGCATCTTACTCATCTATCAATGCATCTTTCCAGTTTTTCAACATCTCAAAGACTTGTGGGGATAGTTGGACAGGCAAATTTCTTAATCCCTATTTTAATTATAAGTGACAGAAATGAGATCAAACTAAGAACAAACAGAGAACGTGTCCAGGAATCCTGAGGTCCTGGTTCCCGTTCTGGAAAGCAGACCCCCTTGCCGCACATCACCGAAGAATATTTCCACAACAGCGAAAGACTCACAGTGTTAATCCTATGAAATACCTCTTATAATAACATCAGGAACTATTGCTGGGTTCTTGTATTTCCTTTACGGTCACACCATGGCAACGTGAAGATGGGCCCCCCCCCCCGCCGCCGCCGCCACCAGCAGTGAGTCCGACACTGGCAGCCAGTGGTGGATTGTGAGCCTCTCTTCATGCAGAAGCCAACTAACTGCCCACTGACTTCAATGGCCATGTCCCAGGGCACAGCCTTACGTGGGTTTATCTCCTTAGACAATTCATCATTCTCATACGGGATCAGAGACAGCTCGGAAGGTCGGGTCACACTCCTCATGACCACAGCTTGGGCCTGAGAAGGGCTGGGTTGGTTGGGATGGTTCTGTGAGTTCTGTGAATGACGATGAAGGGGGGTTAAGGGCTCCCATTGGTGGGAGGAGCTTTGGGGGGATTTAGGAAGAATTTAACCATTGCAGACTTTAAAAGACCCTGAGCTGCTGGGTAGGGCTGGAGTCCCTGTGTATGCCTCAGAGCTGGGCTCCACAAACAGCGTCCCAACACTTGTCCCTGTGATGGAAATGCATGCCTCTAGCCACTTGATTCGATTTTCAATAAACACTCAGCAAACAGTTACTGAGCATCTACTAGGTGCCCAGCACTACGCTGGGTTCCAGGAATACATAACAGAATACAACACACCGTCTTTGTCATCAAAGGGCTGCAGTTCGGTGGAAGAGACAGGCAATTAAATGCATACCAAGGACATGCAAAGTGTGTGAACTGTCATGGGGGACACAAAGATAAATGAAACGTGACACATGTTCTCATGTAAAGGAATTAAAAATACAGTTGGGTGGAAACAAGCAAAAAGAAATTAGTAGAAGAGCAAGAGAATCTCAGGCTTTCTGGTGAAAGTTATCGTGAACTCAGAAGTGTTTTCCGCTCTTTATTGGTCCTGGGGCGAGGACTTAAAACTTTCCATGTTGGGGAAAATTAAGAAAGAGAAGTTATCCTTTCTGATCTTAGAAAAGGATACATGGGTACATGATTATTATTTCAAAGAAGGGACCCCAGTCTTGGATATTCTTAATAACTTTAGAGAGAATTTAGAATGGGGTCCATGTCACTTTGGACTTGCCATCACAATATTTAATAAGATTCTGTTTGAAGTCTTTGTTCTCTACAGTGCCATGTATTTAGAAGGAATCTTCCTACTGAGGGGCTCTGAGGTCTTGGTCTTCCAGGGCCCTCTTGAGAATGACAGGGAGGAGGGATCTGCTATATCCACTTCATAAAAGGGAACCTGAGTTTTGGAGAGTAACAGAATGGACTCTTACTCCCCTAGAGGAGGAGTTCCATTGCCCTACGCCCCAGAGCATGCACTGTTTCTGACCAAGCCTTCCCCAGCCTGCACTCCATCACAAAAATCTTCAAAAGAAATTAAAAATAAAAATATGAGAATTTTTAAAAATTTTAAGGAAAGCTTGGCAACCTTCACCCAATGAGTTCACTTACCTTCACTGCATAATAGTGAACTCCGTAGGTTGGGAGAGACTCCACGATGCTCATGTAGCTGGGAAGGCAACACAGACGCACAGATAGGGTGGTTATTTGGCAGAACTACTATCGTGTACATATCTGCATGTTTGTGCATGATAAAGTTCTCGGAATGATTATTTACTTGGAAATTAAAATGAATCATTACCCCCAGGGGACATGGCTCTCTGAGAAGAACTGAACAACCCTGACATAACACGCTCTTAGGAGCGCTGGGAGGGCCACTTACTTCACGATTGCTTGACCTCTGGTCTGGCCGTTCAGTTTCTTGTAGTGCTCAATTACTCGGTCCTCACTAAAAGAATAAGGGAAGGATTCGTTAGTATACTTCTTGGGTCCACGGCTGAGCACCATGCTAATGCAGATACTTCTTCTGAGTCCAAGCAACCTCATGAGAACCTCCAAGGAGCCAACAGCTCCTGGAAAAAAGGATTTGTCCAGAAGTGGCATTTCTGAATTGATTTGAAAAGTCTGTTTTGCCCTGAGAGGATCCCTACTGTCTTTAGCTTGGACTTTCACTGAATTAAGATTAGGTCTCAGGTTTGGGGTCCACTCCTTGCAAGAAATGATTCCATGAGAGAAGAGGAAGAAGCGGTGAGCAGGCCTCGCAGTGGGAAAGGACACGGGCCAGGGGACAGGAAGAGGACTGACAGGACGCACATCAGAGTGGGCCCACCTTCTCCCCCTCATTTTCTGAATCCTGTCTACAGAGGGATTTGTCGGGGGAGGGCAGGTGCTGACCTCCAAAGCACATCCATGGCCTCCCTATACTGAATTAGTCAGGGTTGGGGGTTTTCAGGAGGATGGGAAAGTTCTGGAATTTGGGTCTGATTAACAAACCAGGAAGGCAGAGACAAATGTATTTAAAAAGTAAATAAATTAATAAAAAAAAAATAAACAAAAAAAAAAAAAAAAAAAAAAAAAAACACAAACCATGACAAAAGGCCCAGAGGGAACTCCTTTTTATCTTCTGAACTCTCAGTTCTAAAATAATAAGAGATTAGCTCCTGCCTTGGGAGATGGGGGCCTGCCAAACTCTTCTTTGACAGGGTGGAGGGCAGGAAGGGCCTCCCGGATAAGTGCCCCTGGGCCAGGGAGGTGGGAGCCTTTGGAAGCACAGAGCCCAGCTCGGGAATCCCGGGGAAGCACTCCCCCCGTTGAGGAGTCAAGTCCAAAAGCCTTGGCCTTGTGGCCTGGCTATGCCGCCTTAGAACCTTGTTCCTCACTCTGCCGCCTCACTCTTCCTCCCACAGGCTGGCTGGCGTCATGACAGGATGTGATCCTAGGGATGGACCCTCAAGACCTCAGTGGTGGATCTTTGTTACCTGTTGTTAACTTACTATCCCAGAACTGACGGAAAGCCTTCTTCCACCCACCTTCTTCTTTTCCAGCTAGACCATTTCTCAGGGCGACATGCTCTATATGTCCGTTATCTACCATTTGGGAGTAATTTATTTATATTCCAATTACTATCTTAACCTTTATGAATTATCTCTTCATATTAGTGTTCCGAAATTTAGCACATGTAAGATTTGTCTGACTTTTCACATGAAAGCATCTTCACAAATACCCAGAAATGGGACCAGCTGGCTACACAGGGCCTTGCTCCAGCTGAAGAGTCGTTTCTGTGGAGTCTGGGCACCTTCTGTTCCCAAAGGTGCAGAAGCTGTCTATTTCTCCTCGGCTCCCATGCTCCATGAAGTTCTACACTGAGTGTGACAAAGCCCTCTCCTGACAGAATTCTCCGGAAGCATCCTCTTGGGGGTAGACGCCAGCCTCAACAGACATGCAGAGCTGTGTCAGGACATCCCAGAGTTGCTCTGCCAGCTTCCTCCCCCCACCAACTGAATCAAGGGCGGCGGCGTGGCCACGGTTCCCACCACGCAATTTAGCATTCTGTGAGGCTGACTCCCAGATCCAGGGTCAAGCAAGTCAGTGTAGTATGAGCCTGTTTCCTTCTTAGCTCTGAGGGACAGGACCCCTGGGCTGAGCTGGAGAGTCGAAAATCAATCTAGCGCTGTAGCTGCAAACACAAGCAAGGCTCAGCAAAAACGCCACTGAACATCAGAAACACTGTCAGGCAGCTGTTCTTCTGTTTACTGACTAAATGGCCTGAGTGGGGTCTCCACCTCCCTGACGGCCGCTGGACTCTGCCACCCGTCACCTCGCTCGCGCTGTCTCCTGCTGTCTGAGGCCATCTGGACGTCATAGTGTCTACCTTCTCCTTCCTCAGCTTCCCTACCCCTTTGTCCCAGTTGAAACACCGCGGCCCCATGTACCATAACGCAGGCCACGCGGCCCGGCCCCTGCCCTCCTCCAGTCCTCCTCTGCAAGCTACCGAGGCTCGAGGTCACCGAGTTCCGCAGACAGCTCCCCAACTACCCTGGATTTGTGGGAAGGATTCCATGGAATAACTATCAGAAACCCTTCAGCCAGAGTAAACAATCCCAAAACACTATTTGGAGGACACAGCATTTCAAGAAGGAAAAAAGACAAATGGCTGCAGCGGACTGCGCCCTAGCCATGGGCTGCGTCATGTCGTGAAGTTAAATCATCTTTCTGCAGACAAGGCGCCCAGAGATGCAAGAGGTGGGGTAAAGGGAAACGAGGTGATAGAGATGTCCTTCCCTGCCTTGGAGAAGCCTCTGGCCTGCAGCCGTCTATGACTGTGGAGAAAAAGAAGATGTCCCTGCATACCTGTCCAGGAGGTGTGGGTGGTCCAGCTTTCGCAAACTAGGCACCCGAGAGAATCAAGGTCAGCGACCTGATCCTGACTTGTTCCGCGGCCCTCAGCATATAATTCTGTCTCAGATGCCTCCCCAACAGGGAAATGACATGGCATGAGAAGCCCAAGCGTGTTAAACGCCTGAGGAAAACTAGCAGGAAGGACTATTGCACTGTTACTCAGCATTATGACAAACCCTTCACTACTTTCTAATTGTATTATGTAACTTTTAACTTTCTCCCTCAATCAGTCAGAATTCAGTTGGCGTGGTTAATTCCACTTTCTGAGTGGGGAATCGAGGCGGGGAGAAGGACTGGTAACTCGGGTTTCCTGGACGGTCATTCCCCCACAGTTCAGGAACATGACAGATTCCAAAACCTGCTGCTCTGCTCACTGAACAGAAGTGTGTGCCTCATGAGTGTGATGGGGCTCCCCGTGGCTTAGTTTGGCCTGAAGCTTGTCCATCGCATCTGCAAAGGCCAGTGAGAGCAGGAGGGCCCTGAAGCACAGCAAACGTGCATCCTTCATTCGAGAATGATCAGGCAATTCAAGACTATGGGCAACTTGACTGGGCACATGAGAGGAGTGAGTAGAGGTCTTCTCTAGCAATCAAGGGTCACGGTGAATCCTGCAGATAAGGGATTAACTTCAAACAAGCTCGGGAGGCTGCTCTGTCCCCAGTCTCTATTTATTAGAAGCATGAACAGCATGTATCCCATTCCTGACATCACTGCATTCCAAAAATCCAAAGAAGTTGACGGGAATGTTAAAGGCAACCACAACCAGCCAAAGATAATGAAATAAGGTGAAAAGACCTCTTTGTTTTGTTTTGTATTGTTTTAGCAATGCATCATCAGGATGGCCATGCTACTTACTGGCTTATTTGTACGTAAGCCGGGCTGTGAAGCCTGAGGGCGCCTACTTCAAAAACATCCCTCCCACTGCCCTGCCATCTCTCAGTGCACAGATGCCACCCGTGGGCGCCGGGGGGTCTAAAGGAGGCCGGGAAAGCCCGGGCTGCTCCCAGAGACGCAGGGACGTTCTCGCTGGATAGCGACAGGTGTGGGCGGAGAGGAGGACGTTCATACTGACAAAAGAGAGCATATGAATATGAAGGAAGGAGTTTCTGTATCAATGGTAACACGTGAGATAGGGCTGTGGACAGAGAGACAGAGACAGAAACAGAGACAGAGATGGAGAGAGAAGTGTGCTGGAGGGGAGAGAGGAGTTCCTAATTCTGCAATGAGCCTAAGCTGTAAAAAATGTTTGGAAACACTAAATGAGGTAACTGAGGGACAGAGTAGGCTACAAGCAAGTGTGACCCCCAAACAACCCACCAACACTGCAGTCCCCTCTGGCACAGGTCCCCTTCGTGTTGGAAATACTGGGTCCCTAGAGTTACATCCTTGTGCCTTTAGCTCCTTCCCCAGTGGTTTCCTGAGAAGCAGCAGCGAAGGGGAAGAGAGAAGATAAGGCCCAGGGGGCAGGGGGAGCTGGGGAGAGGGCCACGGAGTTCCCAGAACAGGGGAACAGGAATGCCGTCTGCCGAGGTTCACACATACAGACCACCAGGTGGATGTTTGGAAGCTGACACATGCAAAGTCCCCACAGTTTAAACAGATGCTGTCCTTTGGGGGCAGATTATAATGCTATAAAGCCACAATACTGACATTTATGTTACTGAAAAAAGAATGGCAACAAAGGCATTCAGAGGGATGAAATCAGGGATACCAGCCCGCTGCGCTCTCTCATTTCCAGCCCAGCCGCCCCATCCCTTAGCCCCTTGGGGAGAAATGATCCCGTCCTGGAGTTTACTCCCACTAAGGCCGCCTGCATCAACACATGCCCTGCACCAGCCGAAGGCATCTCCCAGAGCCAACCAAGCGACTGAAAGAGTGTCCAGACAAGATGAACGATTAGGAATCCGTAAACTTCCTAAAGCGCGTCATAAAAGCGCTTGCAAGAGTCATGTTATAGTTGATCAGGCTCAAAATGTTCTGTGATATTTAGTTTTGTTATTTTTTCCTAAAAGCAGTTACAATGCTTTCCGGTAAGAAGTCAGAATAAACATGGGGAAGCTGCACTGTGCTTGTCAAAGGACAGTGGTCAGGGTCGGCGGCCCTGCAGAGTTCCAACATGCCACCCAGCAATGCAAGCGCCTCAGCAGGGACCCAAACCACAGCCCGGGCACTGTTCAGGCGCCTGATTCATTCAGAATCAATCACTTCAGGCCCGACGGATGGACTCCAGCATGAAGTTACATGGCAGCTGAACCAGGAGAGAGAAACATTGCGGGGAAGTGAAAGAGTCAACGTCTCTCTTCTGCGAAGGAAAAAACCCCAACCCTGCAGCTCTCCCCCATCCGAGACCCCCACACAGCCTGTCATCAAGCGACAAGGACTCCACCAGGAAACTCGAGCAGCACATGAAGGGATCTTCAAGAAGGCGAAGCATTCAAAGCGAAATTTTAGAAGGTTTTCTTTTTTAAAAAATGAAAGAAAATGGGGACAGGAGAGATGCGACATGTACCACATCATTTAAGTAAATGCGGAAAACGGTTCCACGGAGACCCAAGCCACTTGACACAGTATGAGTCCAGGCTGGGCCTGCAGTGGCCTGCAGGGTGGAACCAGTCACCCACCCCCGCCCACACACCCCGGGAAGGGCTCACGCCTGGCGAGACCCGCCGGGCGCTGGGGGAGAAGCAGCTTACCAGTAGGCCAGGGAAGGGTGCTCCTTCAGGGCTTGGGTGGGAAGCGCTGGCAGCTTCTTCAAGTCACTCCTCACCACTTCATTGCTGAAAGACGGGGGGAGACAGAATGCCAAGAAACTCACTCACCCTCTGAGTAAACCACCACACTGTGCCTTGTCCGGTAGACCCTGCATCTGGTCCCTTTCGATGACAAGTTGTGGGAGGAAGGGCGTCCTTCCCATTTATGTATGTATGTATGTATATATGTATGTATGTATGTATGTATGTATGTATTTAAGAGGGAGAAGCACACACCACCTGCAGAGCCAGAGCTCACAGGTGACTGTGGTTCCTTCTCAGACCCTGCACGCAGAGTCGTGCACAGACGGAGGGACCCCGAGCAGCACCAATCTGGGAGAAGGGTCACAGTGTCCCTGTGGGGCCGGGCAGGGCCTAGGAGGGGCTTCTCAGGGCCTCACCATGGGCTCACGGGGAAGGGCCCCCCCACTTGGGCTTTTTCCTGAGAGTTATGTCCTTCCCTAACACACACACCAATTTTCTCGGCTAGGACTGACCACACGTTGGAATCTATTTTCTGGAAGATGACAAATAAATAACTTCTGCTGCTGGTGAGGCATGGAGGTGACTCCGACAGTGTGGAGTGGATTATCAGCTGGTATGAGGCAGCGGGCGGGGCACTAGAAGTGCTTTTCCCCACAGACTCAGGTGTTCTCGGGTTTGGAAGATACTCTCACCGCCCCTAGTTTTGACCAGTGAGCTTCGAACACTTGACTCCCCCCTAGACGCTCCATACACAACTGGCTGTTTGCGTCCACTGTCTACCTCCAGAGGCAATTAATGGCATCCACTTTGAGTAAAGCGTCCACCAAAGCCCCTCGGGCAGAGCCCTGTAGGGGTCGCAGAAGCTCACACGGTCCTAACTTGGGCTGTGCTAGCAGGTTGCGTGCTGTTCACACCAACTGGGACCTTGGGCAGTAACATCTAAACAGAGATGAGACGGCAGCTCACTAAGTGAATATGAAGGAAGGAAGGAGCACAAATCATAGACGGGGAGCTCCTGCGGCACCTGGACGACAATCACCCCAATGCCCACACGGCCAAGCGGAGGATGCGCTCTCCCACGAGTCCCCACCCAGCTGGAAGCACTGGCCACAGCAACGGAATCGGCAGCTCCCTTCGGACACCAAGGGGCATCAGGCAAAATCATTCCAATACTTTCAGTTCATGTGGGCGGTGACAAAGAAACACATGTATAGTGGGTGGTGGTATGACAGCTGTTCCCAGAAATGGCATTTTTCAAGTGGACTAAGAAACCATGGCAGTGGGTGTTTGAAAATCCTGGGTTTGAACAACCAGTTAGAAAGAAAAGTTCAACTTGTTATTAAATCAATAAATCCAAGTACTGGAACTGTTATCATCTAAGTGGGAGGCCAAGGGTTTCTCAATTAATAACCTACAAGCTCCTGCTGTGTGGAAGGTATGTTAGGAGATACCAAAAAAATGAAAAGAAAAACAATGAACCAAAGTCCTCATCCAAAAAAGTTGCTCACAAGTTAGCAACTTGCTAACTTGCGAGAGGTATGAGTGAAAAGATAACTGACCATATGAGCAGCGTTTGATCATGTTGATTCAAACGAAATTTAAACGTTCAGAGGAAAGAAGAGGCCTCGATGGGCTCTGGTGTAAGAGCAGGCTTTGGGGCAGGTCTGCGTGGAGAAAGGAGAGCAATATCATGGTTCTTCTCAAAGGAATGCGGCACAGCAGGGAGGTCATGCCATTTGAACCAGAGAGAGCAATTAGAGTGGATGGCACACAAGGAGCAATGGAGCTAAATAAAAGGCAGATTGGGCACACATTTTGAAAACCTTCACTGCCAGGCTGATAGAGTTCGAATTGATCCAGCAGACAGGAGTCAGCCACAGGCAGTTTTCAAGCAGGTAAGCTCTGGGTGGCCAGAAAAATTCAATTTCCGAGCAGGGTTTGGAATCTTTATTCACATGCTGTTAAGGCATAGTTTAAAATATTTAGTTTGCCAAACACTTGAGAGCCCAGGAGGATGATTTTCTGGATCTTCTCTCCCCTGATTAATGATAATAGGGTCCCTGAGAACAGGGATTGGAGTCACTGATTTGTCAGTGTCCAGCGTAGCACCTGAAACATCTACCAAAGGCACTTTTCTGGGATGAACTTTTATTGGATGAGACCGTGAGAAAGGCCATGAGGCTAAGCTGCAGCTTGGGTTCACTCACACTCATCGCATCTACAGTTTATTTGGGGAAGGAAGGTGCTGAAGGAGGAAGGGATTGTCTTACCACCAAACACTAGTTTGTTGGCAAACAAGTTTCCCTGATGACAGTACCAGGTTTGACTTCCTAGCTGGAGCTTGCAGTGGCTTCTCCAGCTTTCCCCCAGGGCGAGGCTACACAGACAAATATAACAAGAAATCACTAAGGCGTGAAGCCTGTCCAAATCCATTACGTTCTGGAAGGGATCCATGGCTCCTAAACCTTCCCCAAGGACATCGATGTAGAAATGTTCTATTTGCCTTTCTGCTGTCTGTAAACATCTGGAGTGACTTAGAGGTGGCCAGCCCTGTCAGAGGAGCTGGCCAAACTCTGTGGCTGCAACACAGAGAGCTGCCCCAGTGGAAGACTGGCCACTCAATCTCCAGAGACATGTGAAGCTAAAACCTAGTGAATACGCTAGTTCCTCCTTGAGGGTCTTCCGCCCAGCCATTTCCCCCACAGTTCAGTGTGCCTGATAAATGCCAACTTTTAAAACACCCCAAAACAGTTCAGGTTCCAACAGCAGTCGTGTTGCATTTTTTAGGGGGAAAAAAAAGAGGGGCCTTGGCCTGATAGCTCAGTTGGTTAGAGCATTGTCCCAATTCCCCAAGGTTGTGGGTTTGATCCCCAGTCCAGGCACATGCAAGAAACAACCAAAGAATCCATAAAGAACTGGAACAACACATTGATGTTTCCTCCTCTTGCTCCCTTCCTCTCTCTCTCTCAAATCCTTTTTTTTTTTTTTTTAAACAAAAGGGCTCCAAGGGAGTCATTTGCTAAACTGAGAATAAAGCCAAACTTGTCTTATTTTTAATATTAACCACATTTTATTCCAAACTTTCAGGTGGTTATTAGTGTTACCAGCAAAAGAGTGGCCTCTCCACACTGTGCTGGTCTTTGACAGAAGGGAGTTTTGAGCTGATGGCCTCTCTTCCACTGCTCACACTGCTCATAAAGCATCGGACACTCGAATGAAAAAACTAAGATTTACAGCAAGACATCGACTAAAGAATTTGCCACAAGAGCAACAACAAATTTAACCAAGATATCATAAAGTGAAGAAATCAAAAATTAAATTTGATAGGAGGATTGCAAAATTCACAATGTGTTTGTTTTTCTCTAAAGACAAGGAAACCCTTCTCCAGAAGATTCCTTTCAGGTCAAACAAGATATCACAACTGGCAGGAGAAGCCTGGGGCCCATAGAATAGGCTCAGGGTGGGAGAATTCTTCCTGAAATGAGTGGTTTTCATGTGCGCACCAGAATTGAAACTATAAACAGAGCATGAAACCCATAAAGGTACACCAGTGTAAGATAAAGAGACTAACCTGAAACTCAGAAGCTTAGTACACTAGTGGCATACTGACGCCTCCGTATGTTCCGAGTGTACCATAAGGGTCAAGTTCTCCAGGGAGAAGTGTTTCACAAGTAAAGAAGAGTATTATAGGTCCTCATTATCCACAGTTCCAAAATCCGCACAACTCTAAGAAACAAACCTTTTTGACCCGCTTGGTGTCAAGCCTAACCTTTTCCCACGTGTTAATACTTGACCGTTCTCTCTCCACGCGGGTGCTCACCTGAGCTGTGAGCAGGGGCAGGAACGGACTGGCGCTGCCCGGCCCCGCCACGGGTGTTAAGGAACACGCTGATTTATCTGCCTAAAACCTACAAACTTCTGAATCTGGAAACGTTGGGGCCCTACAGTTTCAGAGAGGCATTGTGGATCTGTATGCATTACATATTCAACGGCGCAATGGTCTAGAAAACATTTGAGACAGATTCATAATATCAATCAGAAATGGTTTCTTCTTTGATCTTTAAAAGCCATGCAGAAAGCATTTTCTCTCCTCTCCTTCCGCTTTCCTTCCTCTCTCCTTCTTCCTTTGTGAACCTACAAAACGTTCAGGTTTCAGCAAAGAAAGTGAGAACTCTTGTCTCTCTCCTATGATAGATTTTCTTTCAGGTGTGGAGTGAGGGCTCCCAAAGCTGGTGGCTGCAGACATTGTCTGGGAAGCTTCTCCTCCCACTGTGTAACCTTTTGCAGACAAACGGAAACACCTTGGACCCTCTTGCAATTTCTCCAAAATAGGATTCTAGACTCTGGGCATTTATTATGGGTGACTATGCCACACTAATTTACCAGTCATAGAGCGGAAAAATTATGAACATATTTATGAATTACTTGCCTTTATTTCTGATGCAAGTTGCTAACTTACTTAAAGAAAGATTTCCTCCCTGATCAGTGAATTTGGTTCCCTAGGGTTTTGTGAATGTTTGTGAGTGTTTTGTGAATTTCTAGTTTTAAACTTATGAAATTCAAACAAATTCTTTTATGTCTACAATTTAAGAGAGTAATTTTAGTCAAATAGACAAGAAGCGACTGATTTTCTTCAACTTCCCCCTTTCGACTGTGAATCTTAACTCTGAAAACCTGGCCCAGTGTCATTGCCATGAACCTTGTTACTATTCACAAAGTCAGCTCAAAATATGACACTGATATTAAATAAACGCTTAATAAAACAGACAAGCTGTCATAATACCGAATGTCCTCCTTGCTTTGCGTCTAAAAATTCCCGTGGTATTTGAAGAATATTATCTCGTAAAATACCCTATCTAAATACCATTCTAAACTTGGAAAATGTGAATTACACACTTGAAAATCTCAGTAAAATGGACTTTTGTGCACACAACAAAGCTTTTTGTAACAATCTGTAACTTTTCCATTTGTATATTTTGTTTCAAATTTTCATAGATTCTGTTCCTTTCAAAAGGTCTTGCTGGCTTGAAATGTTCAGTGGC